TGGAAGTATAAGACGTGATATTTTGGGCTAAGAATGGAAATTGTACAAACAATAACAGTACCGAATAATCACTTAGAAAGACAATATTATCCTTTTCAGTCTCCATTTTATTGAAGATTGACGATATTTATACGTTGATGAAAATTGCAACAAATCTCTTATCTTCCTTTATAAAACTCAAAATAGCAGTTTATTATTAAAGAAATAACTTGTTAAAGTTTATATTTATCTATAAGAATTAATTAATTTTTTTAAAAATAATTGCAATCTTTTAAATTATAAATTTCAATTTTGTTTTTTAGAAATCTTTTTCTCGAAGAAATAAAAAAATAAAATAAAATCTGTACTGGATATCTTTAGAAAAAAAATTAGTCTATTGACAAATGTATCTGGACATGGAGGACATTCAATTGATTTGGTGTCGACATGTTCTGATGGTCAAGAAATAATACAAAATGTGGTAAAAATCAACTGATAATCCTAGAGTGTATCACGACGAAATATGACCGGTATTTTGCTATGACATGATCCTTATGCACTGAAGGCTTTAAAGGGAATGCTTTCGATAGATCATCTCACAACAAGGATTACTGTGCTTGGTCTTCTCTGTAAGGGTCAGTGCATTCATATATCATGCCTACCTATTATAAAGAAACCGTTATTCTCTTTCAACTACTAATATATAGTATATTTATATATCTAAGTAACCTCTTACAGTTTCCTATCTAAAATTATACGAAGCAGAAAATTTATTTCAAAAATGTCAAGTATAGAAATTGAAAAACTAATAAAATAATAATAATACTTAATTACACAAAGTTAAAATTAAGTGTATGGTCGTAAAATTCCTGCTTAATGCTTACTGTATAGGTAAGATCAATGCATGTATACGGATGACATCATTTAAGTGGTATACCCATAAACAGCAACCTAATGATGACAGCAAAAGAGATCTTAACGATCTTCTATCGTAACATGGGATGTAGAAATTAATTTTCGAAGGAAGAGAACGTATTCAAACTACGCGTAAATTATCTTAAGTAATTTTAATCGTTGTAGCAATTAACAATGTTCTACCTTTGTCTCAATGGTCATTTATCTTCGCGATTTACTTTTACTTTTCGTTTATTTTTACAACCCGTATCATTGAGAAAATTCNCCACAAGTCACCCTTCTGACAGAAGAGTTGATATACCGTTCTAGCTAAAATCAATGACATAGATATCTGTAAATCAATGGATATGTTTCTGTAAGCTTATACTCCTCCCTTTTAATTGACATTGCTCAAATTTTATCTAGATGTACGTTAATTCATAAAGCAATTACATGTAAATGCATGTATTTAAATTAAATATTATCGTTTAACAATTCCGATTATTTCAAATATCTTTAAAATGTTAATATCTTTATTTAATTTTGTTTTTAAATGATATTTTTAATGTTGTTTAAGTATATTTTGATATACTCAAACAGCATTATTTGCTTAAAAATCATGCATTTAAATCGATTTAAATTAAGTGAAATTTAGTTATTTTTAGTAATTTATTAAATATGCATAAAAATAATAAATGTAGCTTATATAAAATATGTATTTTTAAATCGAGTATTTTCTACTTAAATGATATTTTTTTAAGCAGGAATTATCATTTATAAATATTTTAAATTGAAAAAAAACAAGAAAAATACTTCTAAAGGAGCTTAAAATATAGAAAATATTTTAAAAAATCTATAAACTTTTTTAAGATATTCCATCCCTTAATCTGAATACCTTATTGTATATACATTTGCTCTTAGTATCTGCCATTCAGAATGTATTTATATTAATAATGGCAATAAATAATTAATGTTTTCTTATAAAAGGACAATCAATATTTTCTTTCATACATTTTTTCCCATTCTTCCTTATTCATCTTTTCTCATTTACTTATAATTTATCCTTTATTTATTATCCTAATGTTTAAACTTCATACCTTTAAAATTTACTGTGTTGCTTTATCTTTGATTGATAAGCTCATTATGGCATTTAAATTATTATTTTGTAATTAATAGACATAAATTATATGTTTAGTTATTAATTATTATATTTTTAAATATATTCTGACATATTTTTAGCTTCGTAAGGGAGTAAATTTAACGTTTAAACAGGCATTATTTTTTTCTTAAATAATTCAAAAAATATCTTATGAAAGTCTCCAGAAACATTTTTAATTTAAATGATTTCTCTATATTTGCCATTAAATATTCTTTTAATAAAAATTTGATGCGTCTTTCATTCAAATTTTTAAGATTCTTTCAATGTAGAATATAGCTTTAAATTTATCAAAGTTATACTTTTAAAGTTAAAATAGGAGAAGGAGAGGAGAAAAAAATTGTATTTTTTTGTAAAGAAATCTTAAAATTGATGTTAGCCATATGACAATATTTCTAACAAATTACTTTCTCAAAGTTCAAAAAAAAAATTATATAATCTAATATGCTAAAAAAGTCGAACTCTGAAGTCCTATCAATCATAACATTGTCTGAAATTAGGTGTATAATACATTACCTGATTCACTATTCTTTTATACTTTTTTAATACGTTATTTAACATTCTTTCATTGAAAGAGTTTTGTTTTTAACACAGTTCGTTTATCGAATATCATAGACATTAATCCCTAATTTTTCTGTTGTAGAAGGAATGTTGAATATTGTCAAGAGAAATAACAGCTGACATGAATAGCACTTAGAAAACGTTGCACTTAGAAAACAAGAGCAGAATAAGAAGTGATCAAAGAACACGACGAAAGTAAAGGGATAAGGGAGGAGCAAGAAGTCTTGTTTAACTATAAAGGCGGAATTTTTGGTCATGTTTGTGACCTAGTGTAATTTCTGGCCTTGGCCTTGATAAATATATAATAAAAACATGGATTCATTCCTGTTTCCTATTACGGTTCAATCCCCAGTAGTAACACGAACGTTTTAAGCAAATTGGTTGACATTGAATTCTATCGATTTTTGTGTATATATTTTCCTTTTCCTTGACAAAATGACTGTACGAGAAGATATGTGGAGATGTCAATAATAGCTTTCCATTGCAGGCGTTGTCCCAAGGCAGTATGACTAAGTGGAAACTCCAAAGTTATTTTGCTTTCATGATTTATAGACGTACAAACAGTGGATTTAAAACTATCGTTGTTTCAGTTCATAAAATTCGTTCTGCTTTGACTTTAGAAAGTTTTTGAATGGCTTTTGTTTATCGTATATTTGTATAGAAAGAATGTTGTCAGTAAACTGTTAACAAGAAATGAAAAATTGTTCAAAACATCTTTAGAGATAATTTCAATGCATTGTTTTATTTTTAATGTTGAATTCATTTCCTTATTTTATTTAATTCGAATTTCTTTTTTTTTTTTAAATCTGTAAACAATTATTGCTATTATTCAAGAATTGTAATCGATATTGTTCTGGACATAGAGAAGACATTATTCAGGATATTATCACAAAGACACGTCTTGTCTCACTGAATCCAGATGTTTCCAAATTAACGAGAATACAAATACATTTGGGGTAGGCCACAAGTCACCCTTCTGACAGAAGAGTTGATATACCGTTCTAGCTAAAATCAATGACATAGATATCTGTAAATCAATGGATATGTTTCTGTAAGCTTATACTCCTCCCTTTTAATTGACATTGCTCAAATTTTATCTAGATGTACGTTAATTCATAAAGCAATTACATGTAAATGCATGTATTTAAATTAAATATTATCGTTTAACAATTCCGATTATTTCAAATATCTNTAAAAATACTTACATTATAAAACTGAATAGAAGAATATATATACATACATACATATTTTTAATATTTGAAGCAATGATATAATGTATTTAAAATTATACAAACAGATTATATGGAGTGTATTTATTTAAAATACGATAAATAGAGGTTTTATATATTTTTATTTTTTTTAGCCCTCATACATAACAATGTACACCAATCACTTACATTATCACACATTCGGAAGAAAAATTGAATATAGGCCATTTCTGTAACAGAGTGCAACAATAGCTTTATATCTTCTTGCATTCAATTACGTTAAAGCATTGTACTGTTGAAGAATGCATTTATTTCGATATCGGTTATAAGAGCGGAAATTTGGCTGTTTCTATTCTGTAAGTCGTAAAGGAAGCATCGTATTGATTGGAAATACTATTGGAGGATAGAGGAAGAAAAACGGAAAAAGACGTCCGACAAAACAAAGTTTCAGGTATATATCTACATCGACCTTGATACTATGGTAATGATACCGAAGAGAAAAGTTAGAAAAATAGTAAACTTCGGAAGAAGTCTTTGATAACTTTTGAAATCTTGTACAGATTACTAAACGCCAACAGTGGTATAAACGTGACGTGAAAGCTAAAACCCAGAGGCAAAAGAACCGAAATGGGACATTTAGCAGCGCAAAGATTCTCTTGTGACGAGAAGATTCTACAATGTTTTCTCTTGGGGACATTGCACCACTTGGGGCTATAGTCTCAGACGGCGACGTATCTCATCGCATCATGCTATAAAATAACAGAAGACTCCAGGGAATGACGAAGGAAGTGTCTTCACCGTAAACAAAAGAAGACATTCAGTTTCGGATGGTCATAGATGGAACCGTTCGACCATAGAAACAAGCTACTGGCAACTATCTATGTCGACAATGGTGGAATCTCAAGTTTCACGTGTTGTAATGCAATCATATAATTGCCATCGATTGGCTTTCCACTACCAATCAACTTTAGTGTTTCTGGCCACTAATACAGATGCGATTAGATGGGAGTAAACTGATCATTTCTCCATACAAATTTTTTCTTAAGAAATTGAGAGAAATATAATACGATGTGAAAACATAACTCGGTTAAAGAATAATCTTTATTGGCTTCCTACAAATTTGATACTTGGAAAGTAAAGTTTTCCTGATAATTTTTATATCTATATATATAACTTAAGTTTTTTTTTCCCCTGCATTACAGGTATCCTGGGTAAGACAGAGGGATCTTCACATTCTTACAGTTGGACGTTATACATATACGAGTGATCAAAGATTTACATCACTTCATATGGATGACTCCGAAGATTGGACATTGGAAATAAGATTTGCACAAAAAAAAGATGCTGGTGTTTATGAATGCCAAATAAGCACAGAACCAAAAATGAGTCTCAGTATAACTCTAAATGTTGTAGGTAAGTCAAATATTTTTCTCTTAAAATTAATAATTCCCTTAATATTCTTATCAGTTATTTACAGTATGATATANGGATTTTGTTTTAAATATTAATTCAACTAAATTAGCATTGTTTATGTATTATTTTTATACTTACAATAGATATTCTGTTGTATAAAAGTTTTATTAAGCTCATAAATTCGATCTAATTTGAAAAATTACAAAAGTTTGTAGTTCTGTTTTCTTTTTATCAACAAAATAATAGATATTAGCAATAAAGAAACGTTGAGAAAGAACTCTGGGTGAGGATTAATGGGAACATGGCAATGCTATCGTCCTCTGTATACGTTGGTTTAGGAGCTACATCTATCAAGAATCATTGACAGGTGACTAGCAACTTCAAAGCTACCCACGGTGACTGACGACAGATCCAAAAAAGAGAGAAAAGATGGTATAGTAGCAAAGTCGGTGAATGATACTAGCTATTAAGTTCTAGAAACTTGGTAAGATATAAAAGATGCCTTGCACACTGTTGTTCCGCTTGTGCAAGTTTTCGCCTATTCTAGTTGGTCAGACATCATTCCCATAGCCTCATATATCCAGAAAATTGGGCTCAATATCGCTTCACTAAATTGGTCGCTACTTGGTGCGGAACTTCCACAGGTGAAACAGCTAACTTAGCAGAAAAACATCGAAAGAAGAAGATTAAGATATAAATCTTACCATGAGATTATTAGTTCTTATATTCAAGTTAGTATAGGGCTGTAGGAATATTCAGAAAAGTAGTATCTTCCAAGAAGATGAAAGAGTTGGAGAGGAGAGGAAAAAAAAAATAAAGATTTTGTTTTATATTGCTTACCTTTTTAAAATATAGTAGTTTTTATATTTTAAAACAAAACTAATTTAGAATAGAAAAAAAATATTTGCCTAATATTGCCATAAAAAAACATAACTACTGGAAAAAATAAAGGAGAGCATCAAGAGGAGAATAGACCATCCAAATTAGTATTCTTTAAAAATAAATAGCATCATTTAAGTGTTCATAAGAGAAATAAATATTTCTTGATGTTTTCGTCTTTTAAAAGCATTATCTTTTTGTTTTTTTTTATTTAAATTTTTCACATATTTTTTATTAAAAAAAACTTATATAAAATGCTTAATTTTCTTTTGTTTTCGTTGTTTACTTTACTCATAAAAATATAATAGATAATTTAATAATATTTTTTTCATTATTATATCATTAAAAATTTTAAAAATAGATAGAGTAATAAATTTTTTCCGTAAAAAATTGTTGTTATTTTTATATATAACGTTTAACATAAATAAAATTATTTTAAAAAATAATTTTCTTTTATAAATTTTAAAAGCGTAGTACATAAAATTAATGAGCATTTTCTTTCGCTTATTTTTATTTTAAATAAATTTAAATTATTTAAAAAGAGCAATATTTTAGATTTAAATAAATTTATAGTAAAAATACTTACATTATAAAACTGAATAGAAGAATATATATACATACATACATATTTTTAATATTTGAAGCAATGATATAATGTATTTAAAATTATACAAACAGATTATATGGAGTGTATTTATTTAAAATACGATAAATAGAGGTTTTATATATTTTTATTTTTTTTAGCCCTCATACATAACAATGTACACCAATCACTTACATTATCACACATTCGGAAGAAAAATTGAATATAGGCCATTTCTGTAACAGAGTGCAACAATAGCTTTATATCTTCTTGCATTCAATTACGTTAAAGCATTGTACTGTTGAAGAATGCATTTATTTCGATATCGGTTATAAGAGCGGAAATTTGGCTGTTTCTATTCTGTAAGTCGTAAAGGAAGCATCGTATTGATTGGAAATACTATTGGAGGATAGAGGAAGAAAAACGGAAAAAGACGTCCGACAAAACAAAGTTTCAGGTATATATCTACATCGACCTTGATACTATGGTAATGATACCGAAGAGAAAAGTTAGAAAAATAGTAAACTTCGGAAGAAGTCTTTGATAACTTTTGAAATCTTGTACAGATTACTAAATGCCAACAGTGGTATAAACGTGACGTGAAAGCTAAAACCCAGAGGCAAAAGAACCGAAATGGGACATTTAGCAGCGCAAAGATTCTCTTGTGACGAGAAGATTCTACAATGTTTTCTCTTGGGGACATTGCACCACTTGGGGCTATAGTCTCAGACGGCGACGTATCTCATCGCATCATGCTATAAAATAACAGAAGACTCCAGGGAATGACGAAGGAAGTGTCTTCACCGTAAACAAAAGAAGACATTCAGTTTCGGATGGTCATAGATGGAACCGTTCGACCATAGAAACAAGCTACTGGCAACTATCTATGTCGACAATGGTGGAATCTCAAGTTTCACGTGTTGTAATGCAATCATATAATTGCCATCGATTGGCTTTCCACTACCAATCAACTTTAGTGTTTCTGGCCACTAATACAGATGCGATTAGATGGGAGTAAACTGATCATTTCTCCATACAAATTTTTTCTTAAGAAATTGAGAGAAATATAATACGATGTGAAAACATAACTCGGTTAAAGAATAATCTTTATTGGCTTCCTACAAATTTGATACTTGGAAAGTAAAGTTTTCCTGATAATTTTTATATCTATATATATAACTTAAGTTTTTTTTTCCCCTGCATTACAGGTATCCTGGGTAAGACAGAGGGATCTTCACATTCTTACAGTTGGACGTTATACATATACGAGTGATCAAAGATTTACATCACTTCATATGGATGACTCCGAAGATTGGACATTGGAAATAAGATTTGCACAAAAAAAAGATGCTGGTGTTTATGAATGCCAAATAAGCACAGAACCAAAAATGAGTCTCAGTATAACTCTAAATGTTGTAGGTAAGTCAAATATTTTTCTCTTAAAATTAATAATTTAATAAGAAAAATCTCAACAGAACACTTAAAAACATAAACATTCGATTCTATATATATATATATATATCTTTTAAAAATATAATTCGAGATGAATTTTTTCATTATTAAAACTAATTTTATTCACAATTTTGTACATTTTTTTTTGCTTCGTTGAATGCTTTACATTATGCAAATGAGAATTAAATATATTCGCAGCATGAATTTTGTGTAATTTTTTTTTACTTTGGATTTTATTGTTTAATTGAATTGAATTTATTTTTTGTTTTGCAAATAACTTTAATAATAATAATAATAATAATAATCATAATAATGAGATTATTTGTGTTATGAAAAGGCATATATTCATTTGTTTTTTTCAGTTAGTATTTTTTTATGTTGTAATTGCTATTCTTATTTTCTGTTTGCAGCATTCCTTATCCGAACAACAGAATAAGGCAAAGCAACTAAATTAGAACAAGGTTGTTTTATTTTTTTTAAATAAAAAAATTCTAATTTTTTAGCTTCCCAATATAAATTTCTATATATATTTTTTTTATTTTTATCGCTTGCTTCTCTGCGATTTTACTAATACATAACACATAAACATCTTCCCACATTAATTATAATTAACACGTACTTTCTAATGTATATATAATACATAATTACACGTTTCTAATTTTAATTACGTTATCATTAATCAGCAATTAATGAATAAATCATTACATAATTTATGTATTTTTTATGTAATAATAAGGAAATTACACTATTAGATTACTGAATTATATATATATTTACGTCTGTATTTAATTAAAAATATAATTATAATGGATTTTTATACGCTGTAACCTAATTTTGTTCATGTATTAATAATAATTACAATATCATTTAACACGTAAAATTTATGAAATTTTATATTTAAAATAATTGAAAATTAAATTAGAGATTAATAATTTATCTATATACATGAAATTGATTACAGTGGCTAAAGCAACAATTCCAGAGGGGCCACATTTATATATACAAAGTGGCAATACCATAAACTTAACCTGCATTATTACCGAAAGTACATCACCGCCAGTCTATGTTTTCTGGTACCATGACGATAAAGTAATTAATTACGATTCTACAAGAGGAATACGTGTAGCTACAGAAAAAGGTCCTACAACAATCAGCAGACTTCAGATACACAATGCTCATCCATCTGATTCTGGAAATTACTCCTGTGTACCTTCGTACGCAGATCCAGCTAACATCACTGTGCATGTCCTGAATGGTATGTATTTATATTAATTAATAAATAAAATATAAAATTTATAAATTAATTTTCTTAAAATATTTAATTTTAAGCGTTTTACATAAATACAGGGTAGCCCATAAGTCAATTTAAATTGTTGCCTTATTTAAATATTTAAGTACTTAATTCAATTTTAAATTATGTTTTCATCGATTTTTTAATAGGAAAGCATTATTCTAACCTCAATTCACAATTCACTAGTTTAAAAAAACACACGGTAAAGCTACTTTTGGGCCACCCTTTATATATAAATATAAATATAGAATTAATTCGAAAAAAAATTAAAAATGAAGTATATTTTGTAGAATATTTTAATATATTTTAGTAAATAAATGATTAAAATTATTCTTTACAAATGTTTCTCTATACACTAGAAATTTATATTCAAGAATATTTTCATTTATACAAATTCAAACAGAGTAAAAATTATAATAAACTTAACAGTGACAGACAACAATAATAAAAAAAAAGAAAAGAGATATCGTTTGTCTAGCATATGTTGTTGACAGAATTCCAATTTATGTATTTTTCCAGTTGAAAATTTATCTCAATGTTACAATTCTTTATAATAGAACAAAACAAAAAAAGAAACAAGGTATAATTTTTGAAGGGGGAAAATTTATGTTTTCTAATCCCTATCCAATCAACTTTATAGAATTTTTTTAGAAAAAATAATAATATATTTTATTTTATTTATTTATTTATTCTTTTTAAAGTGTTTTTTATGTATTCTAATACCTATACCTAACATTAATTGTGTAGGTAAGACTGAAAAACGAGACGCGACTCAAGGGACTCTTGGATTTAAGAACATTACTACTAGTGGTCCTATTATGTCAGAAGGTTAGTTTTGGAATGATTTCTTACAAAAAAAAAAAGAGAGAGAAGGGATTGAAAAATAGTAAATTACATAGGTCAACGTATAGTTTCATTAACTTAGGTTTTCACAATTTGGTTTTTGTTTTCCCCATTTTTAGTTTTTAATTACAATTTTTTTT